CTCACACCTCACCCCTCGCTCCTCACACCTCACCCCTCGCTCCTCACACCTCACTCCTCACTCCTCACACCTCACTCCTCACACCTCACTCCTCACACCTCACACCTCACACCTCACTCCTCACCCCTCACACCTCCTCACACCTCACACCTCACTCCTCACCCCTCACACCTCCTCACACCTCACACCTCACTCCTCACACCTCACTCCTCATACCTCACATCTCCTCACACCTCACACCTCCTCACTCCTCACACCTCACCCCTCACTCCTCACACTTCACTCCTCTCTCCTCACACCTCCTCACTCCTCACACCTCACACCTCACTCCTCACACCTCACACCTCCTCACACCTCACTCCTCAGACCTCATACCTCAGACCTTACACCTCACTCCTCACACCTCCTCACACCTCACTCCTCAGACCTCACTCCTCACTCCTCACACCTCCCCACACCTCATATCTCGCTCCTGACACCTCACACCTCACTCCTCACACCTCACACCTCCTCACACCTCACTCCTCATTCCTCTCACCTCACACCTCACTCCTCATACCTCACATCTCCTCACACCTCACTCCTGACTCCTCACACCTCACTCCTCCTCACACCTCACTCCTCACACCTCATTCCTCACTCCACCTCACACCTCACTCCTCACACCTCACATCTCCTCACACCTCACTCCTCAGACCTCACACCTCACTCCTCACACCTCACACCTCCTCACACCTCCAACTCAGACTTTTTAGCTTGAACTTTTTCTCAATAAAACCACAGAAGCTTGGGCCAGGCACAGTGACTCACGCCTGTAATCCCAGCATTTTGGGAGGCCAAGGTGGGCAGATCACGAGGTCAGGAGATTGAGACCATCTCGACTAATACGATGAAACCCTGTCTCTACTAAAAATACAAAAAATTAGCCAGGTGGGCACCTGTAGTCCCAGCTATTCAAGAGGCTGAGGCAGGAGAATGGTGTGAATCCGAGAAGCCGAGCTTGTAGTGAGCCGAGATCGCGCCACTGCACTCCAGACTGGGCAACAGAGCGAGACGCTACCTCAGAAAACAACAACAACAACAACAACAAAAATACAGAAGCCCAACAGAGACCTGAAGACCTGCTTCCCCATCTCCTCTGGGACCTCTCCCACCTGGGTGAAGGGGGCACGTGAGCCTCACCTGATCTTGATCATCTCAGCTAAAACACTGAACCACCCTCAGCACCCACCAGCAGGGGACGGAGGAGAACTGTATAGGGTACCAAAGCGCCACGCCACCATCAGGTCCAGATGAAAACTTACAAGTTGAATCAGCAAGGTGTGGACAGATACGCAAGCAGAAACCCTCTTATAGGAGGTTCAAGGCTGGTCACGGTGGCTCACTCCTATAATCCAGCACTTTGGGAGGCCAAGTCAAGCAGATCACTTGAGGTCAGGAGCCGCAGACCAGCCTGGCCAATATGGCAAAACCCCATCTGTACTAAAAGTACAAAAATTAGCCATGCATGGTGGTGGGTGCCTGTAATCCCAGCTACTCAGGAGGCTGAGACAGGAGAATCGCTTGAACCTGGAAGGTGGAGGTTCCAGTAAGCTGAGATAGCGCCACTGCACTCCAGCTTGGGTGACAGTGAGACCCTGTCTCAAAAAAAATAAAAATAAAAATAAAAAAACAGGTTGAGAATGTCAGACAAGGCAGCACCCTGGGCAGGTGCTCAGGTTGGGCAGAGTCTCTCGGGGGAGGGGAGTAACAGGACGGAGCTCCCCAAGGGCTCCTTGCATGTCTGTGTCCTGATGCACAGCAGGTGGGGGCTGCGGGGACCAGAGAAGGAAGTGCCCCAGCTGGGCACTTCCCAAGAAGGAAGTGGTGCCGGAATTTCCCCCAGGTGTGGCCTCAGGTATAAGAGCGGCTGCTGCCAGGTGCATGGCCAGGTGCACCTGTGGGATTGCCGCCAAGTGTGCAGGCCGCTCCAAGCCCGGCCTGCCCTGCTGCCACCACCATGACAGTGAGCCTCTCCACATGCCACTTGGATGGCACAGTCTGGCCTGGAAGGGCTGGGGTGGGGTTCTCTGAACCCTGGGATGAGGGTGTTGGGATGGGCTCTGGGAAACCCCTCACTCTAGGGGTAGGGGGAGGCAGTTACAGATCCTCGGAGCCCTGGCATGCTGGGTGCCTTGGGCTGAAGGGCTAGCCTCTCTGGGCTTCAGTTTCCCCATCTATAGAGGGAGGGCTGTACTCCATCTTTCCCCTGGGAACAAGGAAAGCTGAGGTGGAAGTGAGGTGCCCCCTGCCCTGGGCACCCCCTAACCACCCACCTGCCTGTTTCACCAGCTCCTCCCTGGCCTCCTGTTTCTGACCTGGTTGCATGCATGCCTGGCCCACCATGACGCCTTCCTCAGGGGGCACCCCCACACTCATGGGACCCCACGCTGCTACTCAGCTGAGGAACTGCCCCTCGGCCAGGCCCCCCCACACCTGCTGGCTCGAGGTGCGAAGTGGGGGCAGGCTTTGCCTGTAGCCCTGGTGTCCAGCCTGGAGGCAGCAGGCCACAGGAGGCGGCGTGAGAGGCCCTCAGCTGCGACCCAGTGCCCGGTGCTGCGGCCAGAGGAGGTGCTGGAGGCAGACACCCACCAGCGCTCCATCTCACCCTGGAGATACCGGTGGGGACCTGGGGATCCTGCTGTGGCGTGGGCTGCCCCTCCCCTGGCAGGGCCCTGACTGCCTGGAGAGCTCTCTGGGCCTTGGTGGTTCTCCCCTGTCAAGTGGGCGTGGCCACCTGAGCTCCGTCCCTCCGTCCCTGCTGACCTGGGCGGCTGAGCTGCTTCTTGCGGTCATGCCCTGCCTGCCACTGTCCTTGGTGGCCAGGGTCCGCTGGGGAAATTCTGGGCCCCTCACCTGAGCTCCTACAGAAGTGGGGCTGGGTGGTGAAGTGGGAGGGAGGCTTTAGAGGCCTCCGGCCCCTGCTCTGTGCTCTTGGAGCGCCCTGGGGAGACGTGGATCACCACCACTTACGAGCCCAGCTGCACGCCAAGCCTGTGTGGCTCGGCCCTCACTGCCTCAGGTCCCATCCTGAGCACTCGGGGAGGGGCCCTGAGGGGAGAGGAGCCTCAGGGAGGCAAGGGTAGGGCCAGAGACTCACTGTGCGCCCCGTCCCGCAGTGTGGACACAGACGAGGACCGCTATCCACAAAAGCTGGCCTTCGCCGAGTGCCTGTGCAGAGGCTGCATCGACCCACGGACTGGCCGCGAGACAGCTGCGCTCAACTCCGTGCGGCTGCTCCAGAGTCTGCTGGTGTTGCACCGCCGGCCCTGCTCCCGCGACAGCTCGGGGCTCCCCACGCCCGGGGCCTTCGCCTTCCACACCGAGTTCATTCGCGTGCCTGTCGGCTGTACCTGCGTGCTGCCCCGGTCAGTGTGACCGCCGAGGCTGTGGAGCCCCTAGACTGGACACATGGGCTCCCCAGAGGGCACCCCCTATTTATGTGTATTTATTGTTATTTATATGCCTACCCCAACACTACCCTTGGGGTCCAGGCATCCCCCGTATCTGGAGGACGGCCCCCCACTGTTCTCCCCATCTCCAGCCTCAGCAGTTGGGGGTAGAAGGAGCTCAGCACCTCTTCCAGCCCTTAAAGCCACAGAAGCCGGGCGTGGTGGCTCACGCCTGTAATCCCAGCACTTTGGGAGGCCGAGGCGGGCGGATCACAAGGTCAGGAGATCGAGACCACGGTGAAACCCC